ATTTGCCGAAGGATCCGTTTTACAGCCAGTTCTTTTAGCAAAGCGCATCTCTACCCACCTAATATTAATTTTCTGCAGGAAATTAACAATACATGCTGGTGAGGAGAGTGGAGGACGTGATGCCGTTCAGGGGCGAAATAACGGGCCATGGATGTCCAGATGCAGATGCTGTTGGGAAGTCAGGGGCCAGCGTAGTTAGGAGCAGTATGCTTGTGGCTGCCTATTCCTGAAGCTGGGGAAGCTGTCATTAGAGATGATGGTGTCTGGGGGAAACCCCGTCTCGGGTCTCGCTTGCAGCAGCAGGCGGGGAGCAGGGCAGAGCCCTCAGGGGACCCTGCACACCTCAGCCTGGCTCCCCGGCTCCAGGTCTTGAGTGCCTGGGCTACACCCATCACCTTGGAGTCTTCCCCAGATACCTGCCAGGAAGGCCAACCTCGGTCTGGGAGCCGGTCTGGGGGTCATGCTATGTCTCAGGTCTCCTTAGGGCACTGAGTGCAGACATTGTTAAGCCCATAAATGGACAGGGTGCAGAGGCTGCCCTATGAGATGCGAGAGTGGACAGGAGCGAGCTGGGTGTGCAGGGGGAAGGCCGGCCTGGGAGGCCACACCTGTTCCCCTTGGGGCCCCTCCACCTGGTGGGGTACAAGGGGCATTTGCACTGGGGCCTCCCTAGAGTCCAGGAGAGGTACGAAGGCCATCAAAGCTGTTTTAGGAACAGATCAAAGGCGTCAGAGTGAGGGGAGGGAAGGCTCCTTTGAAGAGGATTCTATGCCAGTGAGGTGGTTGGTCATTGAGGGTTGAAAAGGGCTGAGGGAGTTGGATCTTGAGGCCCCTGCTCCATGGTCAACTCTGGAGGGGCAGGCAGTGAGGACATAAAAGCCATGGGCTTGATTCCCAACCCAGACATTTCTCTGCTTGAGGTGGGAGGTGCTGGCGTGGCTGGGCCTACCCCTGCATGGCCCCACCCCTCCTCCCATTGGCCCATGGAGTCCCTGCTTCTTCATGTCCGCGTTTTATGGCCCAGAAATTAGGAAGACAGGAAAACAACAACAACAACAACTTTTTCTTGGACCTTGTAGATGGAGAGACTCTAATTTCAGACTTTTACTTGGATCCATGTTGTGCAGCCTTTTGGCCTGTAACACTGGAAACGTTCTGACTTCATTGTAGTAACTTAATAGACATGAAGACCATTTGTGGTTTGATGGTAGGAGATGCAGAGAACCTGGGAGCTGCCAGGGGATCAATCTTTCATAGACAGCGCAGCGATGCGTTCACAGCTCTGCACCTGCTCTTACAGCCCAGCCCACCTGAAGGAAAGGGGACCATGCAGGGTGGAAGCCTCCTTGGCTCTGGGGCTGCAATGATTCCTTAAGGATAGATTAGAGCAGCGGTTCTCAACCTGTGGGTCACGACCCCTTTGGCGGTCGAACGACCCTTTCACAGGGGTCGCCTAAGACGATCCTGAATATCAGATATTTACATTATGATTCATAACAGTAGCAACATTACAGGTATGAAGTAGCAACGAAAATAATTTTATGGTTGGGTCACAACATGAGGAACTGTATTTAAAGGGTCAGAAGGTTGAGAACCACTGGATTAGAGGGAATCTATCACATCAGGTGAGATGCACAAGTAGCTCAGGTGAGGCACCTGGCAGTGGGTAGGGCTGCATATCCTGTCTCAGGCCCCAGATGTGCCCCGTCCCACCACCAGCCAGAGCAGGTCTGTATAACAGGAAGAGCCATGCACACCGATCCTTCCCTGAAAGGCAAGTAGACACCGGCCCTGTGTCCCAGGCCTGCGGGCCAGCATGTGTTTCCTGGGCCTGGGTCCTAGTGTGGGCACTGTCAGCCCCTCCCCAATGTCGTGGGCCCTGACCTGTCCACCAGAGGGCAGTGGTGCATAACTGTGTCCATCCACTGGGTCCCAGCGAGTTGCCCGAGGGTGGTGGCCACCGTTTGAGTGGCTGACATCCTGATGGATCTATGGCAGGGAGGCCACAACCATGTGGAAATGGTGTTGCCACTCAAACCTGCCCCAGGAAAGGGAGGTTTGCCTGGGAGCCTGGAGTCATAGCTTCGTTGCATGAAGAGGACAAGGGGACCACTGTGGGAGGCTGGTCCTGGTCTAGAGCCGCTCAGGAGCCCCACTCTCAAGTGTCCTCTTGAACACCCTGCCAGGCGCCGTCAGGACGGACTTGCTAGCCCCCCAGCCCCCCAAGGCTTACCTCTGGCCAGGCTGGTCCTGGCATGCAGCGGTCCTGGTCATGGGCAGGGAGGTCTCTGTGGAGGAGGGGACTACAGAGGGACCCCTGCTACTCCCTGTAAGGCCTCTGGGGTCCTGCGAGCCCAAGGGTGCTGGGTTCTGCATGGACGCAGCCTCTGGCAGACTCTCAGGAAGCACCTCCTTACCTGGGAGAAGGTTGGCTTGGCCTAGAAACAACCTTGCCAGACCAGGAGCCCCCCAAAGGAGGGGGACCCTCCTCCTGGATGAGCGAGGAGGCAACAGGCTTGCCTGTGGCTGACTTTCGTGGCTATTAAGCATTTCTCATAAAATGAAGCCACTGACGCTCTGAATCATCGAGTGACTGAACGGGAGGGTGATGCTCAGAGGAAGTCCTCACAGCCCTTGGCGCCCCTGCAGGGCTGATGGGCAGCCCCCCTCTACTCATGCCCACCTGTGCTCTGTCTGTCAGAGGCTACTATCAGTATTACAGCACTAATTTATTAGGCATGGGGGGATTTTAAATTTCATTTTTGTGCAGTTATTTAAAATGTTAAATGATAACGTCTAACCCAATTAAATTTCAGTTGATCACTCTCCAAATGCACAAAGGCTTATAAAATATGAATTAGGAGTCGTAAGAACTCTTCTAACAACTCAATCTCCATGTAGATGATCTGCTTTCGGGGCTGTCATGTCACAGCGCAGACCATAGGAAATAAAGACGGAAAGACGGAGACCAGGCAGATCCAATATTGAAATTATCTCAATGGTCCACCTTCCAGTTCTGGGACTATCTCATGTGCATTAAATTCTTTCTCCTGTTTTGCAATAATTATGTTTTTCTTATTCGACTTCTCTCTTTGGGGATTTCATGCATTTTCATAACTTAGTGATTCCAGTGGGAGAGAGCCTGTCCAACCTCGAAAGAGAGGACACATCATGGGGAGGGTTTGAGGGGAGGGGAGGGGAGGGTGTAGCCGCATCCTGGCATCTCCTTCCCTCACTGTCGTCACACTGAGTCTGAGTGCTCACCGACAGCTGGCCAGCGGGTGACAGTGTGCTTCCTTTTCCAGGAACACTCACGGCACACATGGTTCCTGGTCAGACCATCTAATCAGGCAGGGAGGTCAGCCCAGGAGCACAGCCCCGACTCCTGACAGGGCCCCTCAACCAGACACAACAACACGGCCGAGTTTGGCTTTTGCAGTTGGTTCAAGCAGAACTCGAATCCCAGCTTGCTGGTGACCAGTGTGAGAGTCACTGTCTCTGGGAGTTTTGTTTCCTTGACTGTAACATACGGATCATAAACACCTCCTCTGAGGCTGGCGGTGGACATGGCATTGTCTGAAAGCTCAGAGCCCCGTGCCGGTCGGTGTGGGCAAGGGAATCCCAGCCTTGCTGTGAGAGGGGCAGGACCTTGGTACCTTTGTTCATCACGTCTGCAGCAGGAGGTGGGGAAGGGCCATGAGTTTAGGTTCCCTCAGGGGCAACAGGAATGATCTCAACTATAAAGTCAGAAAGAGCAGAGTTAGAAGTAGTTGGCTCACTCTGGATGGTGATTTGGTCAAGGACTTTCTGCAGTCAGGAAAGGTTGGGAAGTGAGTCAAACGTCAGGAGAAAGCCATGAGGGCCATGAACGCAGCACCCCGCCTGAGTTCCAGGACCTCGCCAGCCTCTGCTGTTTCTGGCCTTGTACTTTGAGGCGCATTTGGAGAATCAGATTGTGGTATGGTCGACATTTAATTGCCGTTTTGGTTAACCGTGATGTTCCTGCGTTGCTCTGATTTTATAGGTAGGTCACGGGAGGCAGTGGTCTGGGTTTGGCTGTAGCGAAGCTGCCGGCATCAGAGGGCAGAGTCCAGACTGGAGTGCTGGGAGCTCATTCATAACGGCTGTGCTTTTGAACATGTCATCAGCCCAAGGTCACCTTCTAGGTGCAGCAGTTGTATCCATGGGGAAGTGTAGCTGCCCATCTGACACTGGGGCCCTGAGCTGCCCCCTCCACCTGCCCAGCAGTGTGTGGCAGCCCTGGACATGCTTATCTCCATCCTGGTGTCCGGGCACCCTGTGGTCCCCCACCCTGGGCAGCACCAGACCCCACTGGGCCAGAGCCCTTGCTTGTCTTCTCAGACACACCGCATCTTTGGCAAGAACCAGTTTGATGAAACAGTTCTCTGCTAGAAGGCAGTTGGAAAACTGTGTTATACATTTCGCTTTGCCTTGATTTTTTTAATAAAACTAAACAAGAAATTGTTGCTATTAGTGATCACTGTGTCTTGAGCTCAGCATTATGAGGACAGTGAGACCTTATCCTCAGTGGGTCCCATGGGCACATGTTGGCCTGAACAACATGGGGACACGAATGAACTCACTTGCCAAATATCTGGAAAGCACTGACTGTGGTATTAGGCCCTGGAACATGTGGGGAGGTGTCTCCTCTCAGTGGAGACCGAAGTCAGTGAGGTGAGCAGGCATTGGACAAGTCATCACACACATATATAATAATAAAAAGGTAGTATGCTAATTAGGCCAGACGTCCTTCCTGATGAAGCCAGGGCAGAGGGAAGCCAGCCCGGGTCCCGGGTGCCTGCGGCTGTGGAGAGAAGCTAGTGCCGGCAGCCAGGGGAAGGAAGGCCTACTCTTGCACAAATTTTCATGCATGGGGCCTCTGGTCTGAGATAACTGGGCCACCTCTGAATTTGGGGTGACATGTTTGAGTTAAATGGAGAAGCAAGACAAGGAGGGGCATGCTTACCAGCCTGTGCCACCTGGAAGAAGCTACAACCCAGAAGGAGGCGATGGCCCAGGCGGGGAGTGAAGGAATAGCCATTTCTCCCTCCCCACCCTCCAATAAGAAAGCACTGGTCAGGGTTTCCAGAGGAGCACCACCCAGTCCGGTGCAGGATGGGGGAGGGGCTGGGATCTGAGGGCAGTCAGGACCAGTGGTCTCATCTCGAACTCACAGCTCTCATCAGTAGAGCAGGGATCCTGGCTCCTGGGATTTTATGAAAAGGGCATCTGATTGGATATACAGCTGCTGCTCCATCCCAGTACCTGGGCTGGGCTGGGGTGGGCAGGGCTCTCCCTAGGACAGCTTGAGGGACCCAGGCTTGCAGGTGGGCGCTCCTGTCCCCTACCTCCACCAATGCTGGTGGCATTCAGAGTACAGTCCCATCTCTCCAAGTGCAGTCACCTCTGCTACTTTCCCCTCCTGAGACCCCTCTTAAAGCGTGTGACCTGAGTTTGGAGAGCTGAGCGCAGCACCGGTGAGCCAGGCAAAGCAAAGGCAGGGCCAGGTATTGGATGAAAGCGTGTGGGCCATTTCTCTGCAGCCCTCCTGTTCAGGACACTCAGCCCCAGGACACCCACCCTCCCCCTTTCAGGTGGCAACTCACAGTGTCACCCTCAAGAACCACCTGCTCCTCTTCTCACTTCTCTCGTCCTCTTTGGAAAAGGTAACTTTCCAGCAGCCACTGTATGAGCACAGCGCTCCTGTCTTCCCGGGAGGTTCTTTATTTCAGGGTGCGTGGCAGGCTTTGGGTCCAGGCACCGCGTTTCCATCACTCCCGCCTCTTCCCCGACTGCGGGAGGCCTGGTCCGCAGCTCGGAGGGTGCTGATGTCTTTGATTTAGTTGTATTGTAAGCTGTGGGTGGGCCGCGCTCCTTTGCATGCCCTCTGCGCCCTCCGTGTGAGTTATGGTGGCGTGTTAATGAACAGAGCTTGTTTTGTGGTTGGAATGACCATCATGTAACTTGATGGCTCCCCAACCACGAGTGGGATGATTCCCAAACTTTGCCGAGTCAGCAGGTACCTCCTGAGTGTTCTCTGCCAGGAGACGTTGCCACTGAGGTCAGAGCCCTGCAAGTCCAGGGACCCCACAGGAAACCTCTGTGGAAATGGTGGGGAAAACACTCCCAGGTCCAGCTGGAAATCCTGGAAATGCAGCCTCCCCCTCTCCCTCCCCCACCTCCCCGAAAGGTTGCCAGTGCCACAGGCCTCAAGGTTCCCCCGGGAGGGTGAAGAGGCCCTGGCAGGGGTGCGAGGCGAGCAGGAGTGGGCTGGGGGTACTTGGTAGGCCAGCTGGTCAGCTACGCTGAAACACAGAAGCATGTGGTTCTGGAAAGGGCTGCAGGGGGAGACCCTCTCCAGGACACCCCCATGCTCCTTTTCCCCACTGCCCCATCCACCCCTCTGTCCCAGAGCTCCTGAGATCTGTCTGTGCTTGCACTTCATCCCACCCCCACCCCCAGGAAGCCCTTGGTCTTCCATCAGAACACTCCCAAGGTGCCTGGCCTCGGGCTTCCTTAGGGAACAGCCTGAGAGTTAAGTAGGGGCTACCCCCTCCCACCCCCAACACACACACAAATGACTGTTGCATTTCCTTTTGTAAGGGACATGTGTCCCTGAGCATGAGTTTGTCATTCACCCTCTGGTCACTTACTCTGACTGTGCTGACTGGGGACTGACCACACAGAGGTCACGTTCTCTGGGCACTGACAGCTCCCCTCTCTCTATCCCAGCACTTGGGGCCTCCTGGGTTTCCCAGCCACTGGAGTCGCTTCCTCCTAACGGCCCATGTCTCCATCAGGGAGAGTTAGGGACCAGCTGGCTGGCTGCCGTCCCCACCCTTCTGTCCTGTAGCTACTTAAGGTGTCCCCATGAGGTGCTCAGATGGCTGAGCAGAAAATGGGAAAGAGCCACCCTGTCTGGGACCCAGGCTCTGATCTTGGAAAAGGGGCAACAGGGCTCCTGACTCTCCAGAGGCAAGGACTGCGGGTGCTGGGTTCCGTGTGTTGTCACCTCCCCAGGTGGAAGGGAAAGGCCAGGGCTTGGAGCCCTGCCCTCTGTCTCTTGCAGGCCCTTCCCCATCCTTGCTATTCTGGCTAACCCTGCCCTGGGCCAGGCTGCAGTGGAGTGAAATCCCAGTCTTCAGTCTCCAGTAATCTCCCTGAGGAGCTGACCCCAACCCGGGGTGCCCCTGAGCCCTGCCCTGCTGACTTCCCCAAACCAGTCCTCTCCCCTTGCCCCACCCCCTCCCCTTCTCCCTCCCTCCTCCCTCGATGTATTATATGTACTTAGGAGTAAGGAGGTGGTGGGAGCTGCTAGGACAGGAGCCTTAGCACGTGGAGGAGATGGATCTAGGCTGGAAGGGGACACACAGTGTGCCCTGTTGTGGAATTCTCCATTCTTCAGGGCTGGCCGGACCCACTGGCTCCTTCTAGACTCCTGCTTCTCGGGTCCCATGATGCTCCCCTGTGCTCTGCACTGACTTGTGAGCTCTCAGGCTGCCGCCACCCAGATGCCCTCCCGCCGGGCTCCGTTTCTCGTCCCTCCATCTCCCAGGGCTCCTCCTTGGCCCCAGCCTTATCTTTACAGCAGTTGTCACGGTCCTCACACCACATGCAGAACATGGCCCTGCTTTCCTCTGGACAGATGGCAGGCGATTTCCCTCCACCCACGACGTCGTGGGTCTGTCACTGAAGGGCCGCATGGCCCCGGGTTCCTCTCATTATGGCGCCGGGTCCCAGACACTTACTTGTCCTGCAGCCATCAGAGGGAATTAAAATGAACAGCCGCCCTGACGTGAGGGGAGCCGGCCTGAGACGCCATGGTTACCCACTCACAGCAGGAAACTCGCAATCAAATTCTAACAAAAGGTCACATTTGCAATAAGTAAAAAGGAAATGTAGGTAATTGGTTCTGGAGCCCGTTAATACCTCTGCAGCCCTGAGAGGCAATCTGATGGACTTGAAACCTTTTTGTTCAGGTAATTAAAAATGAGATTTCATTATATCATTAAAAATGAGGGCACATGAGCTGTTTTCTCAGATTCTATAATGTTATCAAAAGAGGAAAGTAAAGCCACACACTTGGGTTTGGGAGTAACTGTAAGGCAACCAGACTCACAGGGCCCCACACCCTCCTGGCTGGGAAGAGGCAGCTCGGTGGGTGGGGGGACACCACCAGGTCCCGCTGGTGGGAGAGTTAGACCTGCTGTGGAGTCTCAGGGGAAATTGGCAGATGGGACTGTAAACATCTCATGAGCTGCCTCTGATCCAACGTGAGAGATTATTTGCAGACTCGATGACAAGGAAAAGGGAAGGGAAATAAAAGGTCCACCTCCTTCAGCCTCATCTGTCCTTCCCCAGCAGAAGTGACATGGGCTGCGACTGCACAGCAGCGGTGTTCGTGGCCGGTTCTATGAGGGGACTGCGTGGCTGTGTCCACGGGCCTTACACAGATGCTCCATGTGTCACCACAGGCCCCCCATGTGTCGTGGAATCTCATCGTTTATATAAACCAAGGTGAAAGGCCACATCTAAAAAAAATACAGACATTCCCATGAATCACCTTTATGTGTGTAATTTTTTTCTTTTTTTCAATCCCAACCATGAAATGTCTATAGGCACTTTTTCCAAACCCTAATGTGGCCACTTTGTAGAAGCCCGGCAGGAGGCCGATTGTGTTTGAATTGGTGTGTAGAACTTTGCCTTACTTTGATGTTCCCATTCCTGCGAAGAAATGTCCCGGTGCTGGCTGGCTACTGTGTGCAGGCGTGGGCACTGGTGACGCTTCATGGCCCCCAAGTGCTCTGATGGCCGCAGTCACCACTTGACTCTTAGTCACATGAGGTCCTGCCTGTGTCTAAAGGCCAGGAGTAGTGAGTCTCCATGTAAACCGCCCTCACAAAGGATCAGGAGCTACAAAACCAACCATCACCTTTCATAGGAGATAGCCTTTCTTTCTTTTTTTGTTTGAAAGAAGAAAAATCACGATATACCAGGTCTTTATTTTCTATGGTACATTTTCTTGGTAAAAATATTCATGAGGCTCATTTAGTTTGAAAATAGATCAGCTAGTTTCCACCTGAATTTTAGGATTAAAAATTAGAAATATTGAAGTAGATTTGTTTTTGCCCTTAACAAAAATACTTATCAACTAAATCCCAATTTTATGTAAATAGAATGCTACACCAGAGAAATTGTGGTTATTTCCCTTATATTTCTCTTCATAATTTGAATTTTCAGCATTCAACCTCATTTTTAATTGAAAAAAAGAAACACTCCATTTAAAGTTTTCTCTTTGTATTTATAAGTTGTTTTCTTTAACCAGTGGGTGGAATTAGCTGCCAAGCTTGAAGAAGATGGCAAACTTTACAGAGTCATTTTTGTCATTAAAAACCCCACACAAGTGAATCACAATTTCCCAGTTATTTCTGAGAGACCAGTCGGGAGCCGAAAACCAGGATTACAGGCTTCATTAGGGGAAAAGACCTGCCGGGCTGTCTCGCAATGGGAGAACAGCAACCCGTGCAAAGGTGAGCACACCTTTTGAGAGGAGGAATGGGAAAGAATGGGGGCTTAGTGTACTCGGCACACGCTGATTGGTGGCTTAATGTATGGTCCATATAGGAACAAGGGCTTAGGGTATTTGGCAGGTGTTGATTGCTGGTTCAATGTATAGTGCATATAAGGTACCTGGTTAGTCACTCAGGTATTTCTGGGCTGCAGGTTACATCATACTCCACCCACCAGTTGGGGGAAGGGAGGATCTATCAATTTCCATTGCCCTAGAGCAGGGGTCCTCAAACTACGGCCCGCGGGCCACATGCAAATACAAATATTGTATTTGTTCCCATTTTGTTTTTTTACTTCAAAATAAGATATGTGCAGTGTGCATAGGAATTTGTTCATAGCTTTTTTCTAAACTATAGTCCGGCCCTCCAACGGTCTGAGGAACAGTGAACTGGCCCCCTGTTTAAAAAGTTTGAGGA